GAGGGGTAAAGTGAGAACAGGACATTTCTCCTTAATGCATAGTCTTGGCATGTAAATGAAGACATCTGAAGAAGCACACAGGTTTGAAGCGGCTCTAACATTCTATCATAATTAGAAACATTTCAAGAGCCCTGTAATTTCCAATCAAAATTACAGTAATTTCCGATATACAAGCCATGATTCATGACAGAATTTTACATTCCATGAGAGATTACGGTGGCCTGATGTATGACACGCTGAGTACAGCACTAACATAAACAATTCAGTTTAATGTTTAAACAGCACTTGATGTTTAGAATCTCACAATAAAAGAAACATATTATTGTAGAAATTATCACTTTGACAGTGATTGAAGGGTAGGCAGGCATGTGGCCTATAAAGCTATAATTTTTACAGTCCACAGCTTGAGTTTAATCATTTTTCTATAACATTTCCAAGATATCCCTTAAGTATTTCATCCAGCCTATAACTTAAACAAGAACAACATTTCCTAAAGCAAAACTCCCATCAAGGACCACTATCAATGCTGATAAAGTGAAGTTTTAGGAAAAGCTAAAAAAAATATTATACTGTAAACACTCTCAGGGTTGCATATTTTTGTCAGAAGTTGACAGCAGTCAAGCTGTTTTATAAAAAAGCGTTCATTAATGATAATAAAAAATACATTTGTTTAAAATTTCAAGTTCCTGAAATCTTACCTGAGCCCTTGACTGCCTCTAAATTCTCACCTTGATAGTGTTATCAAATCTTTTTGCAAAGGGAAAGACAGTGTAGTATTCTTCTGGTCCTTTAAGAATTACTCAGTCTTTGAACAAGGGTTTATAGATAGTTGTGAGTTCATGCATATAGGTGACTCGGCTTTTGATAAATATAAATTATCAATATATGACAATTGTACTGATATAGAACTGAATTATCTATTCCTTGTTATGTTTTTATCTTGTGTAGGGATTTGCAACTTTTCCAATTCAAATCTATTCACTTATAATTGATCAGATATGGACAATTTTTCTAATTGTAATTCAATTTGGGTGTCACATTACCTATAGAAAAACTAAAATCATTCACATATGAAAATATATGTATGTGTGTATCAGTTTGTTTCAATAAGTGCACCTAATAGTTATAGATGCTGGAGCTGGAACAGAAGAAACTATACTGTTTCTAGTATTTTAGGATAGAAATTAAGGTGATCTAAGTAATAATGAAAAAATACTAATTCAAGTTATTTGTTCCATTACAATGGACCAGATTGAGAAACTTCCTATACATTATAATATTCTTCTTCTGAAAACGACTATGAACTGACTCAGGGATTTACTAAGAAATCCTGGGTCTTTGGAGTGGCTGTTGGAAGAAATAAAACCAAATGTCTATTACCAGGATCTGAACATTTTGTTTCATCGGACAGCTCTGTAAATAATCCTGGAGACTGTGACCTCTCAGTGATGGGAATTCATACTGAAAATAGATACCCTGAAAATAGATAAACATTCTCAATGCCTAGTCGAGGCTCTTACCTGGCTTTTGGTTGCTGCAACCTTTGCAAAAAGTGCTTGGGACACTTTAGCGCGCTTCATTTCCTGCTGAATCTCATCATAAATGGAAGCATTAATGTTCATGGTATTGTTCTCTGGTTTCCCATTCCTCTCAGTGGCAATAGTAGCTGTTTTCACCTATAAAACATTTTGAACATGATTGTCATTTTTCCCTGGTCAAATTGTTTTGAAGCTTCTCAGGCTCAGCATCCAAACTAGACACTGTTGCTCCTTTTACAATCAAGGTGATCAACAGCGCAGTCATTCAACATTAGTTATTACCCGGAGATCAGATTGCTTAAGTTAAGGAAGTCACACTGCCACAGGTGATTGCATCTGTAATATGACAGCAACTGCCAGCTGACAACCAGGAATTATAATGCTATAAAGTAAGTTTTCTGGAAAACAAAATAGTTTCAAAGACTTGAAAACCCTAAACTAATTGTTTCCCAATTACCTTCCATTGCAATTCTAACAAAGGAAATTCACAATTAAGATCATAATGCACAGTGCTGTATCTACACTAGGTGCCCGGTGCCTAACACACAATTGCATCACTAATAGCTATTATATACTATGGCCTTTTTAATTTTAGGCCCTTTATTTTATACCTTTTCCTCATGTTTCATTTTAAAAATCTTCCATAACAAAGCCATTTGCAGAGCTGCATATTTAAATCTTCTATCCATCCATGAAACAGGTAGAGTGCCTTGCTTAATTATCATAAAGGCTGGTTGCGCTTTACACGTGCATGTCCAAGCTGTTCTGTATAATTATTTCATCTTTTCCTGGCACCCCTGTATATAACTATTTCTTTCTGACTTGTGGAACCAGACTATCAGAAATATTTCACAATATTTAACAGAACATTGCTGCAAGTTACACAAAATATATAATCAGTGACTTAAAAATTATATTCAAAATGTATAATCCTGAGTGAAAAAGTACTACGAATGCTTTTGGTGATAATGATAAACAGATACCAGCAGAAAACCACCACAGAATTTTAAGGGAAAAATTAAACCACATCCTCAAAATTTATTAATGCTATTATTAATCTTTAAAACTCCAAATTTAATTTTTATTACACAGTTATACTGACCAGTCTGGTAATCTTACATATGAACTACGTAGCTGTTTTTTTCACTGGGGAAATGATGAAAATGTAAATGAAAAATTACCACAGATGCAGGAACATGTTTTTTCCTGGCAAAGTGATTCATTAAGGGCCTGATTTCTTAGTCCTTTACAGAACCCAGGTTTTTGTTCTCTAGAAATTTAGCATCTTGGACCATTTCTCTCATACACTGTAAACACTAGGAAATGAAATGCATTTTAGAATAAACGAGTGAGGTTTTGGCTATAAGTCTTCCAGGTTTATTTCATCCTGTCCCGAAATATTTGGCATCAAAAGTGGGACAGAGGTTATCCTGGGTTCTTCAACTCTCTGCACTTAGAGAGTAACTATGAGTCCCTTTCAAATGTGCCTTCTGAATCCCTTGAACTTCCAGACAGTTGGCAGAGTAACTCAGCTCTGGCTCGTCTTGGACAGGCAGCTAGATTCTCCACCTTGACCTTCCTAACCACTGAATGGACAGTGCTGTGAAATGGTGGGACCACAGCTGGAAGTGAGGACCCAGAAGGGGAGGCAGGACAGGTGCTGGCTGGGCCTCCTCTGCCTGTCCCAACGCTGTGCACTAGAGACAGGGGTGCCCTTCCAGCTCTGTGACTCCAGAAAGCGAGGGCACTCACGGAGGCATACTAAGGACTGGAGGCCACTACAACACGCACAGGGCTTTGAAGCAATAATCTGCTAAACACCACTTTAGGAGCCAGAAGAGTTAACGCATCACCATAAATTGCCTACAAAGTTGCTTTGGTGAGATTCACAACTTTGCTCTGGGGTGGTCTTGCTTTGAGGCAGAAGGATAGATTTGATCACCCCACGGGGTCCCTTTTAATACCTATTTTTCTCACTGTTTAAATGAAAGAGAAAAGAAAAGCCATTTCAATCGCTTTGAAAATTGAATGTTATGGAAATGGGGGCACGAAGTCCAGTGCACTGGAAGAAATAGTTCCGTGGCAGCAATCTGCTTAGCAATCGCTCAAAGAGAGCAGGCTTTGGAAACTTGGCGTTTCATGTTTTTCAAATAATTTGCATTCTTTTGTAAAAATTATGTTTAAGATTTTATCCTCAAGGTAGGCTACAATCATTTGTCTCTACACTGTGATATTGTTTCGAAAACTGTCTTTGGATTAACATTTGTTAAAGCAATTACAACTTGAATCAAAAAGCAAGAATTTTACATAATGGGGGGGGGAAAAAATCAATCTTTTCCTAGTAGCCAACACAAAATAAAAGTGGGAAATAAATACATGAGACATTCAAAAATTAAAAAAAGGAAGTGAGAGCAACAACTTTTAAAAATATAAAGTAAGGAACTGTATTAGTCATTTGAAAAAAGATTTAGAAAAGTTGTTTATCATCTTGTTGGCTCAGACACGCATCTTATCATAGATAAGCTATTAGAATTCTGGAATCACTTTTTTTTAAAACAAAAAAACACAAGCTACTGCTTAAGGGGAACTGACTTGGACAGCTTTTCAAAAATATGAAAGCTGAATTTTTCCCCAGGTAAAAATGGAAACAAAAATCTTTTATACCTCACTCTACTAAGTACTATTTTAGCTTAGTACAAAAAGAATCTTCTTTAATCCTGGTTTAGCTTTTAATATTATATCACACATTAAAATTCATAAAGTAGTTCATTCCAGGCAAAACAAACTACTCTTCAGCTCTTCTCCGCAAATAGCACAGGAGGTGAAATAAATGCAGTTGCTTTCTGAACAGCTTTTATCAAGGCAGGGTGTCCTACTCCATCATTACGGCGGCGCCGGGAAGTAGTCAGGAACTGACGCTTCCCCATGGCCCTGCCCACGTGGGCCAGGGTGCAGCTCCAGGGTCCGCCCTGTATTTCACTAAAATTACGCCGCAGAACACACATTTTCCATGAAAATTCCATTTTGTTTTTTCATGTATTGCTGCATGCATCAAATCATACTACAAATGAACTATACATGCTACACATACACTACATATTACCTGCACAGCACACTGAATGAACTCTACTGGGCCCCCGTTGGTGAACATGCACTATTCCTTGAGGCAGGGCAATTCCCTGCAAGCTGGTCGCATGCGTGCATGCATGCACCCACACAGTTTCATGTAGTTTTACTAATAATTATGACAATAATAAACACTAAAATTTATTAGTTGCTTATTATGTGCTGGGCATAGTGTTAACAGACATTAACTCTAACCTGCACAACAGCCCTGAGTAGGTACTATTACTGCCCCTCTTAAAGATTGAGAAAATGCTCTTAAAACAAAGAGGTCTAAGTAATTTGTCCATGGGCCAACAAAAGTCTGTCTGATGCTAATGCTTATCTTAGAAACCACTGGAAGTTCTTTATTTGGAAAAATTCTTATTTTTTAAGACATGCTGGACCTGCTTTTTGGTGGCCCTTTGCTAAATCTAGTTCATTACTATCTAATTTTTAGTAGTAAATGACTTTATTATTAATTTTACAAATCCAGTCTGAATTTATTTTTCAAGGTATGTAAACTATAAATGTTTCCTTAGTAATGTTATGATTCTTATTGGTGATGGATGTAGTCCACATTATCAAATTTTTATATATTAACACTGTCTGGAGGGTTATGGCTGTAGAAACAATATTAATTATTTTCCTAGTCCTCTAGCTTTTAAAAGATGACTATTAATGGGAAACATTTTACAAGCACATAAATAAGATCTTAAAATAATGCTGGTCAAGGAATTCATAACAAATAAAATTTTAATAATGTATTAAGCTCCTGCCCATAACTAGACCTATGTTTCATTATATTATAGGCGAGGTTGTGGTAAAGAGACAGAAGGGTGCAGCTACCAGATTGAATGCAGTCATTTCACATAAATTAATGATACATTGTTTATATAAACTTTGTACATTTTCTAAAGCATAAAATAGCACATCTTCCTTTAGGAGAAACTACAGAATTACTAAGGAGGTGTAAAAAATAAAGGGAAGAGAGAATTATATAACCAATGTAAAAGTTATAATTTGGTAATTACAGGCTTTCACACAGTCCTTATGAAAACAGAGATTGCTAATTCACCTCCCAAAGTCACACATATTAAAACACACAAATAAAACTAGAAGCAGCACGTATCTAAAGAGAAATCAACGTAAAACTGGTCTATTCTGTGGAACAGACAATTCCCAGGAAATAATAATTAATTACTATTAATAAAATTCCTCTAATAAACTCATCTGGTTTACACTCAATCTGCTAAGCAGAGTCAGAAAAGCAATCTTTAAGACCGGGGAGTCTTAAAGGTTTGGAAGGATTGGGTTCTTTCAGATATTTTCAAACAACCAAAGTAGAAGGGGGGCATCCTCCACAATCTCAGACATGCCTAGGGGTCATCTGTCAAACATTCAACGTTTTTCTACCCCTGTCCGTCTTTCCTCTTCCTAACCTAATAATAAAACTTCCCATCCTCTATGACAAACAGAAAAAATCCCCGAGTTTCATTTTCCCTTTTCTATCATGTTCGTTTATATTTATTTTTAGCAGGTGGCCTGGGGAAGGGGGAAGAGCAACAGAATTAAAAGAGGGTTGGAAAACTTTGAGTAATCCTTAGACTTGGTTCTCATTTTCCTCCTACAAAAAGGCTGGTCTGAGGATACAATAAATTAATGTACATCAAGGTGCTGAGAAAACCGTGAGCCATTACCAAGTGCAAGGTAATCTTATCTGTTGAATTAGCACAAGTTGTGAAAATAGGCTGTCAGCAAACAGGTCTGGGCCAGAGCCCGCTGCCCCCATGAGAAGCAGCTCACCGCATGGCTGCCCCAAGGGACACGCAAAGGACAGGTGTGCGGAGGGGCACCTCACCCCGCAGGGCCAGCCAAGAGCTCTGGGGATTCCTGAGGCCAGTCCGGGCCTACCCAGGGGCGGTGTTCCTGCGAATAAAACCTAGGGCTTGACTACAACCAAGGCAGGCCCTGCTTGAAGATGATTTAGAAGCTGGTAAGTCCCTCAGTTTGGTATGAGCCAGGACCGTCTAAATCACCTTCAGTGTGGCCTGAACTCCACAGAAGGAGCTGGAAAAGAACCCAATCTCTGGGGCTTAGAGGCGGGCGGGGTCTCTGTCTGCAACATGCAGTTCTTTGGAAAGAGATCAAGGTTGGGTTTTAACCGTAGCCCAAGGCTTGTCTCACTATGTATTTTCAAATCTCTTCATTTTGGGGGAAAATGAACTGCAGCACAGTCATTTCACATAGACTCCTCTCTGGCAAAATATAAAATTAAAAAAGGCAAAATTTTGCAGTCTGTTCCTGTATTCATGGTTTCAATCCCCCCCCCTTCTATTTTCATCACTTGTAATAAGCATATTAAAACCTTACAGGTGGCGTACTGGTTCCAGTTTAAGCACTAGATTTCGACTGCTGCAAAACTACTAATTCAACTGCTCTATAACACATTTTTCCAAATCTAAAGTACTTGTCTGACACTGACAATGCTTTTAATCCATTAAAAATTTCTTAAAATGTAATTCGTTGCATCATTATTAAAAGATAAAAGGTGAACAAACTGACTGTGAGCTCTATTATAATAATATTAAACAATGCAAAGGGATTCTCAGTGGGGCAAATAAGATACCATAAAGATTTATATTATAGCAGTGAAATAAAATTATACACATATGTCAGATAATCATTTCAGAATTTTGTTAGATAGCCACTAATACTGCATTAATAGAAACCATTTTTTTTTCTCTGAAAGAGTTTCACTAAGACTCTACAGTATCAACATACTTTGTATGTTCAACACTGTTTGAATATCCTGGCTAAGGGCTTGGTTTCAACCCTTCTTGCTAAGGGTGGCTCAATCGGTTAATCAATAATTCAAGCCAAGTAAATTATGTGTTCTATCCCAACTTATCAGCAAATACAGTCTCTAGACATATATATCAGATATATATCAGAAAGCTACTCAAGAGTATCGTAATAGTATATGGAAAAAAAATGAAGACTAAGGATAGCAGAATCACATCCGAAAAACAGAAGCATTAAAATCCTAGAAAAATTAAAAACAAAACAAAAGCTGTACTGAGGATCATTAAGTTAAATTTCTGGATATCTTTTTTTAAAAAAGGAGAAGCTCAATGCTAAAGTTCATACTGGTCTTAAATAAGACATTTTTTGGTTGGTATTGCAGATTAAGTAATAAGTAAGATAACTGCCCACGGGCCTTTCAGTGATGATGATGGTAATGACAAATTTAACTAATACTGGTGTGTATTAACTCTAAACACCACACTACGCATTAAACCAAGTCCAAAGTACAATATTTTTTCTTTAGTCACTCTTACAATAAAAGTTATGTATCTATATAAAGAGTTCCTCATTTTTTTTCTTAAGAAATACTTTATAGAAGGCTTTACATATCAAGTTCAATAACTGTGTGTGTGTGTGTGTATACAGGTGGATATGTGTGTGTGTATACATATCTACCTATAAACACACACACACACATTTTCTGCTAGAGAAGCATGACTTTCTTATTCACAATTACAGTAATGACTTCCTTACAGTCTGCTCCTATAGACATCAAGACCTAATTGATTTACATTAAATAAAATGGAGAACATGGACGTTTGTGACATCTCTAAAGAATAATCATTCCAAAATATTACAATATACAGTTTAAGACCCCCCCCCCC